GTCGTGTGTGTGTGTGTGTGTGTGTGTGTGTGTGTGTGTGTGTGTGTGTGTGTGTTTTAATTACTACTACATTCAGTGTCTTCTGCCTCACCCTTTGCTTTAGGCAAAGCACCTCTTTCACCATAAGGCTGCTGTTACTGTCAGAAACACGGTCAGTGATTCTGTTATGACAGGAGGCAGAAGTCCTGAGCACCTTCACTGGAATTTTCTAGGAAGGGGCACGAGGATCCCTCTCATGGACCTAAAATGAATTACTAGAGCCAGCGACCAACTCTTGCAGGGACTGTGGGACAATCCTCCCTTCATCTAGTGCTATTCCACTCTCTATCCTAGGATTGCTCAGGTCAGATAGATTAACATGAGTGGAAGAAATGCAGTGGCTGTAAAGGTAGGTTTGCAGCCTCTGAAAGGAGTTGCTTTCAGGGTGGAGGATCTTGGGATAACTGTTGCTATAGCAGGGATGGTCAAACCATGGCTCGCGAGCTGCATACGACTCTTTTACAGTTAAAGTGAAGCTCGCAGAGTTCCCCATGCTCCCCCCAATCTCCACCTACCAGACTGTGGAGGAGGAGCTCAGGGATTCTGCAAGACCTCGGGACTTCAACCCCACAGGAAGTGCCTGTCGGGGCTCGGGGCTTCAGCTGCGAAGCCCCGAGCCCAGGCAGGCACCTTCAGCAGAGCAGAAGCCCTGATATCCCCCTCCCCGAAGGGGCAGAAGCCTCTAGCCCCACCACCCCGCTGCAGGGTTGAAGCCCTGAGCCCCAGCTGGCATGACCCAGAACTCAAGCCCCAGCCCCAGCAGGTGTGGCCGGCTCTCAAATTTCTGAAGATTATCCTATGCAGCTCGGAGGGTCAATAAGTTTGGCCAACCCTGTGCTATAGTTTAGAGAGGAGTCCATAAACTTCCCCCAATCCCCTATTCTTCACTTAAAATTAAAATGGATGAGCCATTTGAGAATACACTGTAGATAGCATTCCCGCATAACTAGATAAGGTGACAAAATAGTTCTTTTCCACCTTTATTTTCGAGAACTTATTGGAACAAAATGCGTGGTCTGATAATCCTTACACTGACATTTCCTCTTGGCTGATGGTATCCCCACAACATTGTTGTTTCTCTGCAGGGCTCTTCTTGGGAGCTAAGGATATGTGTTGTAGTCAAATGCATCTGAAATCTATAAGAGACTTCACTGGCATTAGAGGACCTCAAGCCTGACCACCACTGCTTAAGAAATGCTGTATGTTCTCATCACCCACCTCTCTTCTGCCCACTGGCGTAAGCGCTGCTGAGCACTGGGCGAGTGAGAGAACTTGTCCATGCTGCGGAAGTGTTGTTTCTCTGGAGACAGCCGCCTTCGCAACTGCTCTAGTTCGTGCTCATACATTAATCTCTGCCGCTCCAGTGCGGATTGCTTCTCCTCTTCGTACTGCTGTTCCACGCTCTGCAAGATTGACTGCATCGGGTCTAAACGGGTGTTGAAAATAAAGAAGCTAGTAGTGAAGTGTTTGGACACTCACTGTGTGCAGAGCTATTAGAGGGAAGCAGTGATCCAGTGAACAGGGCACAGAGTTTGGGACTAAGGGGACCTGGATTGTATTCCTGGCTCTGCCATGAATTTATCACATGATTTTGAACAAGTTACCACTTTTCTATGGCTCATTCCTCATCTATAAAATAGGGATACTGCTAGTTTTCCGCCTTTGTAAAGCTCTAAGATCAATGGATGAAGAGTACTCTAAAGATTAAAAATAACTAAAAGAGTTGGACTATTATATTTTGTCAAAGTATAATAAATCAAGTGTTTTGTTCTATGGTTTAGCATTAGAAATCAGAGAGGGATAGGTAGGTGACCTAATGGAAGTTAGAGATGGACAAGGTCAGGTTGAATCAATTCCCCTCACCTTTGCAAAATGGGACACCTTTGGCAGCTATATAAGGCTACTGAAACCAAAAAACTTGACTTCAAAGTCAATTGCAGGATCAGAGAGTACACAGCTCTGCTCAAATACCTCAATGCTAGACCATGATATCCCCAATGTTCTAGTTCTGGGTCTTGCCTGAACAGAAACTCTGAATTCTAACAAGTTTTGTAGTTTTTTTCCCTTCAAGGGCAAAGTGACTAAGAGAAGAAAGTGTATTCAGTAGGAAACTATAAAGGAAAATGATTCCTGGGTTACAAGGGACTCAGGATGTAATCCTATTCCCTGCTTGTATTCTTAATAGATCTGCTGCCTCTTACCATTGCCACTGAGTGCCTTCATGATAACTTCCATTTGGGCATATTCATAGCTGAAGTTCATTTCACTGGACACTTCACTGGAATTGTCTCCATCTATATCTAGCTGCTCGACACTGTTGCTGCACCCCATAGAGTTTTCTTGCTCTTCATCCTCATGCTCTAATTTCTTTTTCTTTTTTGGCAAATTCAATCTTTAAAACAAGAAGGGGGAAAAAAGCAATGTCTAACAAACAATTTGTATCCCCTGCCTCTGTAATAAAACTGTTGCTTTTAGAAGAAGATTCTTAAAACAAAGGCGAGTCCCCACAAGCCACAGATTTTCCTTTTAAAATATTGTGTGGCTGAAAATGGTGCCTTCCATAGTAGAGTCAAAATAAAGGTTCCAAAACACCCTAACCGGGACCACTACATCACACTGGAAGTGCAACAGCCCTTCTCTCCTCTCCTTCAGATACAGCCATTTATACCAGATGGACACCTAGAGATTCTAAAGCCAGAAGCAACCATTGTGATCATCTAGGTTGACCTCCTGTATAACACAGACCAGAGAATCTACCCAAAATAAATCCGGGAGTGTATCTTTTAAAAAAACATCCATGTTACACCTTTCTCTGCTAGATTGATGAGCCCATTATTAAATATTTGTTCCCTATGTAAATACTTAAAGGCCTGGTCTACACTGCGGGGTGGTGGGGATCGATCTAAGTTACGCAACTTCAGCTACGTGAATAACGTAGCTGAAGTCGACGAACTTAGACCTACTCACCGCAGCGTCTTCACTGCGGTGAGTCGACTGCTGCCACTCCCCCGTCGAGTCTGCCTGCGCCTCTCGTGGAGTATAGGAGTCGATGGGAGAGCGCTTGGGGTCGATTTATCGGGTCTAGACTAGATGCGATAAATCGACCCCCACTGGATTGATCGCTGCCCGCTGATCCAGAGGGTAGTGTAGACATACCTGTAGACTAATCAAGTCACTCCTTAACCTTGTCTTTCCTAGCTAAATAGACTGAGCTCCTTGAGTCTATAACTATATAAGGCATGTTTTTCTAATCCTTTAATTATTCTCATGGGTCTTCTCTGAACCCTCTTCAATTTATCAACATCCTTCTTGAAGTGTGGGCACCAGAACTGGACACAGGATTCCAGCAGCGGTTGCACCAGTGCCATATATAGAAGTAATATAATATCTCTACTCCTGCTCAAGATTTCCTTGTTTATGTTTCCAGGATCACATTAGCTCTTTTGGCCACAGCGTCATACTGGGAGCCTGCGTTCATCTAATAATCCACTGATTATCTATGGCCCTAGGCACCTCTGACAGCATTTAAAAATACAGATATAATTTACAACCCCATCAATTTTATCAACCCTCCCACACATTCACCAACAAATTGTCTGGTCACACTTATCTCCTTCTTCTTCCCCTTTCACAAGCCTCCCCCTTTCCAAAAGGGAAGGAGAATAATTAGGTTTTACAGCATGCCCTACAGGTCAAAAGAGTTGGGCCATTTCAGACCAAGAGTGGGGAGCGAGTTACAAAGCTGAGAGGCCCTTCCCAGAGAACATCTGCCAGCAATCATCACTTTCTTTTTTTAAGCAGAGGGAACTCCATTCTGAGGGTCTCCAATGACCGGAACTGCAGCAGTATGCCACAGTGTATGGTGGTCTTTCGGGTAAGTACGTCCCATGTCACTTAGGAAATTATAAGTCCAAGTCAATCACTTTAAACTCCATCCAGAAACCAAGAGGCAGACACTGCAGATCAGCGTAATATGCTCACAATGAGACATACTATTTACCAAGGATGCTTCAGAATTCCACACCAACTTTAGCTTTTAGAAAAATGTAAACTGTAGCCCCAAATACAGTGCACTGTAGTAATCTAATCTGGAGATGACAAAGGTGCTAATGACGGTAGCATGGTCCACATCAAAATGGGCCACAACCTCCTGGAAATACATAAATTAAAATCCTCCTCAGCACATTACAACCAAACCAAGACTGTGCACAGCGGCTATGACACTGGTCATTCGAAAACATCCTCTAGCCAGCATTGCCTCTACAAACCCATAGAATGGGCAGCATGTGGTCCATCTGCATCTTGAGAGCTCAGGTAGAGGCCCATAATTATTCTTTGTGCTCAAAGCTAAAGCAAAACTGGCTCAAGCTCATAACTGGATTAAGACCTTTTATACCTGAAGAAGTGGTTGTTTCCCCACAGTATTCTGTCTCCATGGTGTAGCAGGGTAGGACCCACAACAGCAGAACCATTTACAAATGTTCTGTGAGGAGAAGAAGAAGAAAAGCTAATACACATACATCCAGATAGGTTTTATTTTTTGTGGGGGAGAATAGTTTGTTTCATTCTCCCAATTAGTTTGGGGGAGGAAAGCAGGTTTGAGGCTTACAAATTAATAAGCAAGCATATCTCCTGTAACTCGGCACTGTTTCACCAATCTCTGAGCTGTTTAAACTCTCGTTTAAGCTTCATAATATTTAGTATTTTTTTTTAAACACAGACTGTACTTGAAGAGCATAATTGAAAAAAACCTATTGGGTCTAAAAAAAGTGTATGGCTTTGAATATAGCCTATTGGAAGCAAACACAACTATTTTTACACTGTTTAGAAATACAGGGAGAATAAACATACACCATGTAAAGAAAATGTTGGCAATCTTGGCTATATGCAGGGTTTACTGGAGACATCATCAACTCCAGTGTTATGGTTCATACTGGCAAAAACTATACTTTTATACTGTTGATTTCTAAAATAGACCAAGCTCCTAGGCCTGCACATACAGAACCTTGACAAAGTACAGGAATTTCATGCCCATTACATGTTCATCACCAAATTATATGGAACATTAAGCTTTTGATAGAGACCCCAAAGGTACATGGCATTTTGTGGTTTGTTGGAACGTAGCTTTTACTTTCCAAGTACCGTTATCCGTTAATTGGATAACACAGCAAGTGCTTCAATAAAATTTCACATATGAACAGTGTTTATAGAAGATTAGTTTAAATCTTGACACTCACAGCTAAATTTAGACAAGTGCAAATAAGTTAGCACGTATTTGCTGAAACTATAATTTACTTTTGTCTCATCATTAAGAAAAAAGAGACACATATCCCAGATATTCTGTTTGAAATCTAATCCAAAAAGACCCAGAACTGGAAGAGCAAGGATACTATCTATTAGGAATGAGATGCACTGACAGAGCTGTTCATGGGGAACACAGCAAGCTAATTATTAAAATCTAAACAGAAACCAAGTAGCATTTTATCTTGAGATTAAGGAAAAAAGCTTATTTAGAAATCATCTTCATGCACCATTCACCCTATTTACTAATATTAAAGTTATGGAACTGACTTTACAATATTTTGTAACATTACCTAGTATTTTTCTGAGGTGTTAGCATAACCTGTCCTTCTGAGGTTATTTCTATAATACAATGTTCAGGAAGAATTCCCATTCCACATAACTGGATATCTTGGGAGTCATCTGACCCTATTAATGTGTGCTCCTGTGGAAGAATCAAATTCAGATGTTAGCAACAGGTAGCAGAAATTTCCCTCTGATTACTCTATAGTGCGTGCACACCTCACACTCTTACATCCTACCTTTTGGACACGCCCATTCCCTTAATTACTGAAGTTTTGAAAGCTACTTAGTAATCTTTAAAAAAGGGGAAGGAGACACTATAACTAGAAACAATCAGAGAAATGGAATTGAACTGATTTATAAGTGACATGAAGAACAACAAATTTTAAATTGAACTAGACCTTCACGTCAAAGAGTGAAAAAGGCCCACACTTTGGAATCCTTTAGCGACCGAGAAGTGCTATGCTGAGCTACATCTACAGTACACTACACTACACACCAGCAGCAGCGTGTAGCTACATGCCGCATCCACACTTCAGTGTGTAGCTACAATTGCCCAGGAAAGGCTCTGGCAGTGGAGAGGCAGACAAGAATGGCTCAGCCTTTCCCAGCTCCCACCACCTCCCTCCCCCGCCAGAGTTTTTTCCTGCAGCAGGGAAAGGCTCCAGCAACAGGGAGCTGGGAGAGCCCTGCCCCACTACCAGAGTCTTCCTCTACTTACTTACGTACCCCCACCCTTCAGATGTTTCTTTACTTGCCTAAGCCATGCCTCACCAGCTACAATGTTATTTATATCCCTGCTAGGGCAGCTACACAGGTGTGTACTCTACACTGCATGCTTCTTTTGGCAGCACGTAGATGTACCTTCAATGTAAAGAAGTAACAGTAGCAATGGTAAGAGGCTAACAAGGGACTACTAGTTAAGAACAGATAATGGTAGCATACAGACCACTTATAGTATGACGCAAGTTGTATGGGGCACTAGTCTACATGTAGAATACCCAGAACGATTGGGCACAACTTCTCTTTACACCCTAGAATAGAGCTCTCCATCAACCATAGACTCATAGACTTTAAGGTCAGAAGGGACCATTATGATCATCTAGTCTGACCTCCTGCACAATGCAGCCCACAGAATCTCACCCACCCATTCCTGTAACAAACCCCTAACCTATGCCTGAGTTATTGACGTCCTCAAATCGTGGTTTAAAGACCTCAAGGTGCAGAGAATCCTCCAGCAAGTGACCCGTGCCCCACACTGCAGAGGAAGGCTAAAAACCTCCAGGGCCTCTGCCAATCTGCCCTGGAGGAAAATTCCTTCCCGACCCCAAATATGGCAATCAGTTAAACCCTGAGCATGTGGGCAAGACTCACCAGCCAGCTCCCAGGAAAGAATTCTCTGTAGTAACTCAGATCCCACCCCATCTAACATCCTATCACAGACCATTGGGCATATTTACTTGCTAATAATCAAAGAACAATTAATTGCCAAAATTAGGCTATCCCATCATACCATCCACTCCATAAACTTATCAAGCTTAGTCTTGAAGCCAGATAGGTCTTTTGCCCCCACTACTCCCCTTGCAAGGCTGTTTCAGAACTTCACTCCTCTAATGGTTAGAAACCTTCGTCTAATTTCAAATTTAAACTTCCTAATGTCCAGTTTATATCCATTTGTTCTTGTGTCCACACTGGTACTAAGCTTAAATAATTCCTCTCCCTCTCTGATATTTATCCCTCTGATATATTTATAAAGAGCAATCATATCTCCCCTCAGCCTTCTTTTGGTTAGGCTAAACAAGCCAAGCTCTTTGAGTCTCCTGTCATAAGACAGGTTTTCCATTCCTTGGATCATCCTAGTAGCCCTTTTCTGTACCTGTTCCAATTTGAATTCATCCTTCTTAAACATGGAAGACCAGAACTGCACACAATATTCCAGATGAGGTCTCACCACTGCCTTGTATAACGGTACTAACACCTCCTTATCTTTACTGGAAATACCTCGCCTGATGCATCCCAAGACCGCATTAGCTTTTTTAACGGCCATATCACATTGGCGGCTCATAGTCATCTTGTGATCAACCAATACTTTGAGATCCTTCTCCTCCTCTGTTACTTCCAACTGATATGTCCCCAATTTATAACCAAAATTCTTGTTATTAATCCCTAAATGCATGACCTTGCACTTTTCACTATTAAATTTCATCCTATTACTATTACTCCAGTTTACAAGGTCATCCAGATCTTCCTGTATGATATCCCGGTCCTTCTCTGTATTAGCAATACCTCCCAGCTTTGTGTCATCCGCAAACTTTATTAGCACATTCCCACTTTTTGTGCCAAGGTCAGTAATAAAAAGATTAAATAAGATTGGTCCCAAAACCGATCCCTGAGGAACTCCACTAGTAACCTCCTTCCAGCCTGACAGTTCACCTTTCAGTATGACCCGTTGTAGTCTCCCCTTTAACCAGGTCCTTATCCACCTTTCAATTTTCATATTGATCCCCATCTTTTCCAATTTAGCTAATACTTCCCCAACCAAAGGGAGCTCTAGACCAGTGATTCTTAAACTTTTGTATTAGTGACCCCTTTCACATAGCAAGCCTCTGAGTGCGACCCCCCCCCTTATAAATTAAAAATTTTTTTTTATATATTTAACACCATTATAAATGCTGGGGGAAAGCGGGGTTTGGGGTGGAGGCTGACAGCTCGTGACCCCCCCACATAACCTAACGACCTTCTGAGGGGGTCTCGACCCCCAGTTTGAGAACCCCTGCTCTACCCAGCTCTTGCAGAACTCAGATGGCTCAACACAAAAGAGGTCGAAGATGACTGCTAGACTGACAAAAGGGAGTTGGCTCTAAGATTTGGTGGATCCAAATTCTGATCTTCTTCAGGAAATTCTGCAAAAACTTTCCTCTTTGAAAAAGCCTTTTCTCCACCAGAATGACACAAAACTGAAACCCCATTCTACTCAGAAATCTGAAATCACCCAAAAAGAAAGTCGGAAACAAATCAATCCGAAATAAAAAAAAACAAAAAAGAATCTAAAAAATAATCCAAACACAAACCCTAGCCCAGGCTGAGATTTTTACCCCCAAATGGGAGGAGTCGAGCATGACATGGCTTCTAAATTTGATTTTTAGTGACTATAACAGTAACGAGAAGCAAAATACAACTCTAAGATAGATAGTTCTGGTTCTTTCTGAAAGGGAATTGCAAGAACATTGAGTATTATTTTTACTAGTTTCCCCATTCTACACCACATAACAATGAGTGCATTTTGCCCATGGACTGAGGTCATCCTTCCGAATGTGCTTTGTCATTAATGTATTCTTGTTATGTATTCATATTAAGCAACAAAGAAATCATCACAGTCTCAATAGCTGTCAGAGTTGAGGCTGACTTAGCAGTATGAATCAGAATCCAGACTCCTACATACAAGACGCCTGGAAATGCTTTGACTCCTCTCCAAAAATCCTGAATCAGCTCTTTTGTTGTTTATTAATGGTTATAAGGGGCAGTGATGAATAACGGTTTTTTCTTTTGTTTTAATTCTTTGGGTAGCGGTTTGCTCTGTGATATACAATGACTGATCTAAAAAGAAGATAACATACATCTCCGAAGAGAGGCAGCACAAAACCACTTTTAGCCCAAATGCTAATCATGTGACTGCCTCAAGACAAATTACTGTATTCCACTTCAGCGGGAGGGAAATCATTAACAAACAATGTGAGAACTTTTGGCACTTGAACTTAATATTAAATTGCTGAAAAGTGACTTAAAACTACAGCATAGATTCCATTTGTCACTCTGCCTCCAGATCAAACCTGCTCAATTTACAAACTAGCCCAGAATCCAAGACTTAAATTGGGTTCATTCTTTTGCACCCATCACCAATGGTATGGAATTCTACAATCAGAAGTTGCACGTCAACAGAACCCAGCTCTCTCTCCAGAGCCATATTGATTCTGCAGTGATAACAGAAGTAAAAACTCATTTTAGAAGTCAGTATATATAACTGTGAACATACATGGAGAAGCAAATTGATTTAGTAAGATGCCCCCATTTTTGCATAATCACTTTTCTGAGTAAAGCTACACAAAGAGAGCTGTAAAGGCCAGACAACTGCTTGTAAAAGGGAAAATTTCTAAGGATACAAAATGCTACTAAGACACATTTACACTGCTTTCTGGTTCTCTGTAACAGTAAAGATGACCTGCAATTAAAAACAAGCTGTATTTGTGCCATTTTTGCTAACCACTGGACACTAAACAACGTCTCTGTAGTCTGTTTCTCATAAGGAACTCTCTACCCATATGCATTTTCACAGGGTTAAATGATCCACTTAAACATGTTGAAACAAAGTGTTATTTCACCTTTAAGTAGTAGACCAGAAGTTCATTGAGAGCAGGATCTGCATTCAAATTAACGAGGAAGCACTTGTTATCCCCAACTTTGATTCCAGAAGACTGAAGAGATATGCCAAGACTTTCCAGTTGTTTCTGCCGCTCCTGTAAGAGAAACCTCCAAAATATTAATGTTTAAGATGTTTAAGAAACAGATATATTACAGTGCACATTACTACCTGCTAAGAAATCAAACCAACATAATAGGCAGCAATTTATTAGATTAAACAAGGTAATCAGGAAACTAATTTTGATGAGCCTCTTGCCACTGCATGTTGGAACCCTATAGTCTCAGAGGGTTACATCTTGTTAGCGAAAGACGAGTGTAGTTGTGAGGATCACACTGTAGATCTGCCTGGGCTTCAATATAGCCTCCTTGAAATAGTGAAACAGCAACACAAAGCCATCTCTACCGCCTTTTGTTTCCCATTCTTAGCTAGGAGGCAACAAATTCAGCCAAATCCTTGCCAAGTCAAACTCTGTTCATCTTTGTCCCATAGAAACTGAACACCAACAAATTTGAAATTCTATTTAAGTAATGCAGGAAAGATTTCCTGCTAAACAAAAACAGTAGAATTTAAGATGGTATATTATTCTCATCAATTGACTTCTTAGAGTGCAACAACAAAGCAGTTCTTTATTACAAGTGTACATCTTTTACAGGGATATGTTAAAAGTTTTTCTCCCAGTATTCCACTCTTCACCCAAACATTTTTGACTTTGTAGTGGATAGATATCTTTCTATCTTGCCATTCTTTCCTAAAAGAATGGCCACAGTTTGGTTAATAATACCATCTAGCTCAGAAATTAAACAGAAAACTGAGAATCGGGTGAGGGTCCATCATCTACTAAAGCTAGGATTGCAGAGGAGAGAATTCCCCACCACCATAATACAAGGAATTTCCCAGAGTTGTCGCACAATGCTCATAAGAACATAAGTACTGACATACTGGGTCAGACCAAAGGTCCATCTAGTCCAGTATCCTGTCTTCCAACAATGGCCAATGCCAGGTGCCCCAGAAGGAATGAACAGAACAGGTAATCATCAAGTGATCCATCCCCTGTCGCCCATTCTCAGCTTCTGGCAAACAGAGGCTAGGGACACCATCCCTACCCATCCTGGCTAATAGCCATTGATGGACCTATCCTCCGTGAACTTATCTTGTTATTTTTAGAACTCTGTTATAGTCTTGCCTCATGTGAGCAAAAGAAGTAATCCCCCTACCTTTTTTTTTTTAAGCAGAGGGGCAACTGAGAAATAGAAGGGTTAAGTAACTTTCACAAGAAGTCCACGGCAGAACCATGATTAAAATCGCTATTTCCTCACTCAGTTCCAGTCTATAAACTCAAGGCTGTTGTTTTCTATAACCTATTGGTAGACACAGGACCCGTAGGCCAAAGAAAGAGTTGATTCCTGGTCTGAATCATGCAAGATTTTCTTTAAAAAAAATATGAGAGCCAGAGTTTCTGTATTATGCAAAAAATTTAAGTGCATAGGCCCAGGGAAAAAATTAAACTAAAATCTTCAATAGTATAGCAAACAATCATAGAATCATAGGACCAGAAGGGACCTCATGAAGTCAGCTAGTCTAGTCCCCAGCACTCATGGCTGGAGTATTATCTAGACCATCCCTGTCAGGTGTTTGTCTAACCTGCTCTTAAAAATCTAATGACTGAGATTCCACAACCTCCTTAGGCAATTTATTCCAGTGCTTTATTACCCTGACAGTTAGGAAGCTTTTCTTAATGTCCAGCCTAAACCGCTCTTGCTGCAATTTAAGCCCATTGCTTCTTGTCCATTCCTCAGAGGTTAAGGAGGACAATTTTTCTCCCTCCTCCTTGTAACAACCTTTTATGTACTTGAAAACTGTTATGTCCCCTCTCAGTCTTTTCTTCTCCAGACTAAACAAACCCAATTTTTTCAATCTTCCCTCACAGGTCATGTTTTCTACACCTTTAATAATTTTTGTTGCTCTTCTCTGGACTTTCTCCAATTTGTCCTCATCTTTCCTGAAATGTGGCACCCAGAACTGAACATAATACTCCAGTTGAGGCCTAATCAGTGCAGAAAAATTACTTCTTGTGTCCTGCTTACAATACTCCTGCTAATACATCCCAGAATGATTTTTTTTTGCAACAGTGTTACACTGTTGACTCATATTTAGCTTATGACCCACTATGAGCCCCAGATCCCTTTCCACAGTACTCCTTCCTAGTCAGTCATTTCCATTTTGTAGGTGTGCAACTGATTATTCCTTCTTAAGGAGTACTTTGTCCTTGTTAAATTTCATCCTATTTACTTCAGACCATTACTCCAGTTTGTTCAGATCACTTTGAATATTAATCCTATCCTTCAAAGCACTTGCAACCCCACCCAGGTTGGTATCTTCCGCAAACTTTATACGTGTACTTTGTGTTATTTTCTACATCATTGATGAAGCTATTGAACAGAACCGGATTCAGAACCGATTCCTGCAGGACCCCACTTGATATGCCCTTCCAGCTTGATTGTGAACCACTGATAACTACTCTCCTGGGAATGGTTTTCCAACTAGGCCAGGTCTACACTACCCCCCTAATTCGA